ATATTTTCTATGATATGTGAAGAAGGGAACTTTTTTAAAAATATTTATACATTCGTTTGAATCTTAATTCTCACAAACAAATTTCAAAGAAAATCACACAAATTAAAAATGTAAACTCCAGATTTCTTCACTTAAATTTACTTAACACCATAAGGTTTATTATATGTGGGGAAGTTTATCACTATTCATAGTTTATTTATTTATTTATTTAAAAAGTATACCTTTCAATTTATCTTTCCCTTGTACCGCTTATCAATTACATCAAATAGACAGGTGTTTTCTTTAAGATTATCTTATTTATTTTCTAAACTATAATTTTGTGTGGTTTATTAATTTCAATTCATTTACACATGTCTCTAATGGTATTTCTTGAATAATTAGCTTATAGTTTATATCATTTTGATAGATATATTCATACAGTATATACATCGACCAACAATCGATTTGGATCATTTGCAGATTTATTTGATGTATGTTCTTAGGGACCTTTTACTTCTGTTTTTTTAGACCAAACTTTTATATGTTTCATTTGTAGTTGATGAACTAGTATAAATAAACTGATGAAACCGATTACACCTCTCTATTGTCTCTTATATCCTGCTTTTATATATGTGACTAGTATTTTAAAATAATTTATAATGTTGGAGGTTCCTACGGTACATATATTATTTCACAAGTTGAAATCATGAGCCAATTGAGGCTAGACCACCATGGAAAACCTGGAGGCACTGGACGGCCGTTTCGTCCTAGTATGGGACTCCTCGGCATTACGCACCCACGGGATTCGAACCCAGGACCTACTGGCTTCGCGCGCTAGCACCTAACCATTAGACCACTGAGCCTGCATCCAGCGGTGTTAATGCCTAACTTCAACCAATCCACGAAGTTGCGCCACCGTACACTATTGTCTTCAGTGAGTTCCTATCTCACAACAGACCTGGTTGAACTCCACTGGTAACGACTTCTCACTAGAACTCCACCTACATTATATATTATTATCAATGACAGTAGATTTGTTTTAACAATTTAACTTCTTCGACATTTGAACAAGAAAAGTTTGTAGATGTACCGAGTACAGTCACTATCTATTAGAAACTATTTGTTATCATAACTGCATTGCACATCTACCTTTTAGAATTAAAAAACGGGCTTCGAATATAAGTTTTATACTCCAGACTTTTTCAGTGAAATTAAATGAATTTGGTAGTGAGAAAGGTTCCATCATTTAGCGTTTGATTATGTGAATTATATATAACACCTATAAACCAGTTAGCATTTAGTCTTTCAGTCAAGTAATTTATATATTTCATGATGATTGTTGCGAGCAATGTTATTGGCTCATTTTAGTACATGATCTAACCAAAGTGAACTAACTAATATGAAAAATAAGGGTCACTGTATTCTATATAAGTGTTTTAAAATTATTGTGTCTTCTCTAACATTTGAGCATCTTCGATAAAATTTTCTATAGAAAAGTGGTTTGAAATTCAAACGAATTTTAAATGATATCGTACAGACTATACAATTCTACCTAGTTATCAATATTCCTCTAGCTGATGTATTTTTGTAACGACAAAAACCAACTTTCGAATGAATTCAGTATGAATTTACTCTCCATATTATAAAAAACTACTCAGTAGGTATAATTTAGTTACTTACTTAATTACTTACTTACGCCTGTTACTTCTCGTAAAGGAGCATAGGCCGCTCACCAGCATTCTCCATCCAACCTTGTCCTGGGCAATCCTTTCCAGCTCTTTCCAGTTGTTATTCATCTTTTTCATATCTGCTTCTATTTCCCGAAGTAATATGTTCTTTGGCCTTCCTCTTTTCCGCTTCCCTTCAGGATCTCAAGTTAGAGCTTGCCTACGGATGCAGTTTGATGATTTGTGTAATGTATGTCCTATCCATTTCCATCATCTTTTCCTAATTTCTTCTTCAGCTGAAGGCTGGTTTGTTCTCTCCCACAAAAGGCTGTTGCTAATGGTATCCGGTCAATGGATGTTGAGTATCTTGCATAGACAACTATTTATAAATACTTGTACCTTCTTGATGGTGGTTGTTGTAGTTCTCCAACGCTAACCAGGAAAAATAATAGTTTAGTTACCAGTAAATAAAATGTTTAATATCATTATGTCATTATTTGTACTAATTACTAGTTTCAAATTAGCACGATGCAACTATGAAACTAAGGAAAATAAACGATGAACAAGCTTAAAATGCATGTTGTAGTTCTATGTTTTACTAGAATTGAATGAGATTTAATAACAGTTTGAAAAATACATTTCCCAGGTAATCATGGATCAGAAACGTTATAACTAAATAAACTGAACCTTTTAATTCACTTGGTGTTGTTTGCTTGTATCTTCCCATTGTTATTTAGGACTGCAATTAATCATTCTCCTATTGGTACATATACATCCTGTGCGCATTGCCTCGATATTGTTTTAGTTTGCAAGCATTACAGTCAAAGATGGTTAGTGGCTAACAGTGGAATCTAGGACGCGCATTTCGTCCTATTTGAGATTCATCATCTGGACGCACTTGTATTACAGAGTTGATGTTCACTCCGTGACTCGAACTCAGTACCATTCGCTTCAAACGCCATAGCGTTATCCACTTAGCTAATAAGTCCTGATATCCACCTGCTTGTACAATGTGGTGAAGTTCAAATAGGTCATTTGCCTTTGATTTTTCCAAACGTGGTTCAGTCTTGCCTCTCATATAAAGCCTAAGCTATATGGAATAACAACCATAGTTTTGTGTTCACAAATGGTTTTTAATATTTCTATTTCTTCTTTGGTCACAGAAAACCCTAACAGATCATTTAATTAATTCCTTTTACTCTTTGTTTCTTTCTTTCCTCTTCTTTACTATCTGTGTAGTTCAAACAACTATTTATATGTTTCTTATTATGTTATTTTATCGATTGTTATCTTAATAAGATAACTGCTTCAAGTTTTGACCTAATTCTTATGTCTATAAATTTGTTCATGTTTTCATACTGTTCATTATTCTTCCATTTAAAACTATACCAGCAACCTTATCATCAATCTTTACTTCTATTTCATACAACTAGTCATATAATCTCTTTCACTGTTATTAATTCCTTGATATAGACTAACATTTTTTCAGCGTTAGTATCCAAGGTTTATTTTTTGATATGTTTTGAAATATTCACATCAAACTATAGTTTTCATACTATCGGAAAGTTGAAAAGAAGAACAATGATTTGAGCAGAATAGAGTGAATTCATTTTATTTCGTTTAAAGAGAGTAAGAACAAAGGTTGGTGCAGAATAATATGAATTCATTTTATTTCGTTAGGTTCTCATCAGCTGCTTACAACCTAAAATATTTGAAATTCAACGTTATTATGGATATTGACATACTTATACAACAGAGGGCGATGAAGGATGAATATATGTAACATAATGTGGTAAAGATTTCGTTAGAGTGATTGAGGTTATAAAATTTTTTGTTTCGAATATATAAAGTTTGGGAGGGAAGGTTCCAGAAAATTGAAATAGTGATTAGAAATCATGGAATTAAAACACATTTGACGATTATGTAATGAAGTAACTGAAAATAGATTAATGTTAATAAAGAGAGATATGAATTGAAATTGGTCAGTTATGAGTGATGTAAGTATGAAATTCAGAAAGAGTTGAAATGACGTAATAAAAATAAATAAAATAAAAGGGGGTGGGGTGAATGTTACCAGGGCAAAGAAAGATTTATTACTGTTTCTTTTTGTATACAAAGATCTGGTTTTAAACGTTTGATTGCTATTGCTTCCGCGAATTTCAAAAGGTTTGAATTTGATTGTTTGTTGATCACCCTGAAGGACTTCAGTATATCGACTTCGTGTCCTGTGTCAATGAGATGTCTTGCGACAGCGCTGCTGAATGCTTTTAGTCCGTTTGATCTCAAACTGTTCGGAATATGTTCTTTGAATCGGACGTAGACTCTCCTTTCTGTTCTACCAATGTAACTGCTTTGGCAGATACATGTAAATTTGTATACACAGTTGGTGGTAACATGAAAGGGATACCTGTCGACCTTTGATTGTGTCAAAGAACATGTCGTTTTGGACAGGACAATCAATTTAGCTGCAGGATATGTTTTTGTCAGTGCAGTTTATAGTCTCATATTGATCGATCCTGTGACATTATCGCCTTTGAATTGAAGTTGAATAAAAACAGGTTTTTTATTTACTGTAGTTTCTTTGGGTATTTTATCTTCACGTTTTCCATATTTCTCAATGAATTTCAATGGGTATCCGTTATTTCTTAAACACTTTTTAACATTCATAATTTCCTCTTCTATTGTACCTGCAGTGCATATTCTTTCTGTCCTATGAAACAGTGTTTTAACAAGCGCCTTTTTATAATTGATTGGACAAAAGCTGTTGAAATTGAGATAGCTACCTTTCCATGTGTCTTTCTTATAAACTGAGCGTTGAACTGTGCCATCCTTTCTTCATTTTATCGCTATATCGAGGAAATGGAACATGTTTTCTTTTTCATGTTCCATAGTGAAATGAATATTTGGATGAGCTTCATTGAAAAACTTTAACAGATTTGTTGCATGTTGTTGATTATTACATAAGATGAATGTATCATCAACATACCTCGAATAATACATCATTTCATCAATCGCTCCTTTGAGCTTGGTTCTTTCGAGGTTAGCCATAAAAATGTCTGCTAGGACGGGGCCTAACGGACTTCCCATTGCTACACCATCGGTTTGTCGATATATAGTATTGTTGAACTGGAACTGAACATCTTTTGTACACAAGAGTAATAGACGTTTGAATTCTATTGCTGGTAGAGGTAGGATATCAGGATGTTGACAAATTATGTCTATGGTTTCAAGAAGTGGTATTTCGTTTAGTTCTCATCAACCGCTTACAACCTATGATATTTAAAAGTCATGAATACAAAATGGGTTTAAATTGCTTTCATGAAACTGTTTAATTGGAAGTTACTTAGAACACACGTTACTACATTATAGTAAGGATATAAATAAATTTAATAGACTGCATAAAATATTGTAAGTATATACGTGACATATAAAAACCACACTTAGTAACGAAAGTCCGAAAGGGGCAGGAATAAATGATTACGTAAAAAGCAAACGCTAGTAATATGTAAGAGTAAAATGACTAAAGCTCAGTTAATTAAAATAAGATTACTAATCTAGATGACAGTCGTAATTATGTAACTAATTGGAGAAAAGAGTTGAACAACAGTTTTGTGATGTAATGAAGGAATATGTGTCACTAAGGCAAAGAAAGATAAACAACCATCTTCCTTTGAAGATATACATCAGGTTTCTCACACCTGACAAAAACGACTTCAGCAAACGTCAGAAGTATGGAGTTGGTTGTTTATAAACCACCTTGAAAAATTGCAAGGTATCGACCTTGTATCCGAAAAATGTTTAGTAATTGAGCTGTTTAAAGTAGTTCTTTCTCTTGTTCTAAAGCTTTTTGGAACATGTTCATTGTGGAGTGCAAGCTGATGAATACGTCTGAACCAAAACATAAAATCGAAGTCTACTTTAAATAATTTGTTCATAGATGGTCACTTTTATATGAGCTATCACTGTTTTGTATTCACTTGCTTACTAGATTAAGCCTGTTATCTACCGTGGAACATAAGCCATCGATCAGGATTCTACAACAAACTATTTCTTAGGTAGTCATTTGCAGTTGTTTTCAAAGGTTGTGTATTCTTTTGATATATGCTTCAATCCCTTGAGCAATAAATTCTATTGTCTACAACGTTTCTTTAAGTTTTCAGCATATTTGGTAATTCAGTATTATGGTTTCTGAAGGGTATGTCTAACCCGCCTTTGGCGTCTTTTCCTAATTTCTTCTTCAGCAGGAAGCCGATTTGTTCTATGTCACAGTAGGTTGTTGCTAATTGTATTCATTAAGTGTCATACGTAATTATAAATACCTGTACATTTTTGATAATGCTTAAGTTGATCTCTAAGTTTCAGCTCTGTACAGTAGAACTGTCTTAATGTTTGTATTGAAAATTTTGACTTTGATCTTGGCTGACAGTTGTTTTGACTTCTACATTTTTTTCGATTATAGAAATTTGGGACGGCTTTGCCAATCCTTACCTTTACATATGCGACAGAGCCTCCTTGTTTATCAATGATGCTGTCCTGATATGTGAAAGTTCTCACATCTTCCAGAGCTTCTCCATAAAGAGTGATTACGTTGGTGTTCTTTGTATTGTATTTCGAAAGCTTGTTTTTCCCCAGGGTATATCAAGACCTATTGCTGCAGAGACTACTGCTACACAACTGTCTTTACCTACATTTTTTGCTGTGTATGGGATGGAAAGACTACATCATCTGAGTAGTCCAAAGTCTCTAGTTACATAAAAGCTAACCATTATATCCCACACTACCCCTCCGATGTGAAGGTCTTCATAATTCAGTCAACCACCAAAATAAGCAGAAGGGGAGAGAGTAAGCGTCATTGTCTGACACCAGTTCTCACTATGAATGCGTCTGTCAGCTGTCCTTCATGCACGACGTTGCAGTGTAGTCAATCGTATAAAATCCGGATGATGTTGACGATGTTCTCAGCTACTCACTCCATAGTGTCGAAGAAGTTTCTGTAACGTCCTTCTATCCACACCGTCGAATGCGTTTTCATAGTCAGTGAAGTTGATGTATGGCGATGTGTTCTATTCAACTGATCACTCAACGATGGTCCGTAGTGTCGCAGTTTGGTCTTTTGATCTGGATACTGGGCGTCTATTGAATATTTCATCTGGTTAGGCATCACTCTGTTAAAAAAATTTGCTAGTATCAATAGTAATGTGATGCCTGTGTGGTTCTCACATTTGCTGAAATCTCTTTTCCCTGGTATCTTGATGAGATGTGCTTCATTTCAGTCCATCGGCACTTGTTACTCATCCCAAATCTTTTTGAATGGAAGGTAAAGCATGTTTGTGGTTACTTCGATGTCTGATTTCAGTGCTCCGGCCGGTATGCTGTCTGATCCTGCTGCCTTCCCGCTCTTGATTTGTCTGATGGCCATTCTGATTTCTTCCGCCGTTGGTGGATTGTCAACTATAGGAAGATCTGTGTGTGCTGCTTCGATGTCCGGTGGATTCATTGGAGCCGGCCTATTCATGAGTCCCTCGAAGTGCTCTACCCATCTGTCCCACTGTTGTTGAATTTCAGTGATTGGCCTGCCTTCTTTGTCCTTGACCGGTCTCTCTTGTTTACTATATTTCCGTGCTAGTTTCTTCGTTGTGTCATAAAGCTGTTTCATATTTCCTTCTCTTGCAGCTCTTTCTGCCGTCGTTGCTAATTCTTCCATGTATTTCTTCCTGTCGGCTCTAATGCCCTCTTCACTTGCTTGTTTACTTCAGTGTATTCAGCTTGTGCTTGGACTTTCTCTGCTCGTGTTCGGCTGTTGTTAATTGCTGTCTTCTTGTTCTTCCTTTCTTTGATCCTGTCCAGTGTTTCTATAGAGATCCATTCCTTAAGATGATGCTCCTTGAGGCCCAGAACCTCTTGACACGTTGAAGTTAATGCTTCTTTGATATCTTTGCAGTTGTCCTCCATAGTAGGTTCTCCTTCTTTCAGTAGATCCTGTAAGGCTTGGAACCTGTTGTTGAGAGCTATCTTGAATTCATTGAGTTTGTTAGTATCTCGAAGGAAGGCTGTATTGAACCTCTGTAGTGCTGTTTGTCCAGTTCTTCTTAAGTTCCATTTTCAAATTGGCCACAACTAGGTGGTGATCTGAAGCTATGTCAGCTCCTCTCCTGGTCCTCACATATTCCATTGTCCTTCGGATTTTTTTATTGATGCAAATATGATCTATCTGGTTCTCTGTGGTGTGATCTGGTGATACAGATGTAGTTTTTTGTATGCGTTTGTGTGGGAATAGTGTGCAGCCTATAACCAATTTATTGAGTGCACATAGGTTTGCAAATAACAAAACAAAGAACACATTAAGAGTGTAAAAAAGCTGTGCGATTTGTAGCTAGTAAGTAGTTGATATCAGCACGTTCTATAGTTTAATGATATACAAACGATAGTTTTCTTCTCTAAGTGAAATAATAAAATCCACAAAGCGAAACTATGAATTATCAAATACAGTTTAAAACAAGGCGTATTAAACAATAATAAAGTTACAAGATAATGTAGTAAAAGTTAGAAGAAATCTACACTAAATACCACAACATTACGAAATATTAATTACCATTTACATTCTTTTAGATTATAAACTTTTTATCAGAAATATATTCAGTTACAAAAGTCTGTAGAACTATGATTCTGATTTCATTCAAGAAGATTGAATTTCAATAATCTAGTTGCCATTATATAAAACTCTTATTGATTGATCTATCCATTTACTCAGCTATCAAAGAAATAAATATTTACAAACAATCTAAATGTTACATGGTTTTCTGCATTTGTAATGAACCAACAGAACTAAATCCAAAAATTGATTAACCTTAGGTTATTTGTTGTCAATAATTACCATACTAACAATAGAGAATATTGTCTTTTCAAGTTTCTTTATGTTATCTAAATCTTTTGATAATTTAACTAATGATCCTATTTTTTGTAATTTACTCTATGTTGATTGGATTAAGTATAGATATTCAGAAGTTAATAGAACTTATACAATAAATATGCTTCATTCAAACTAAGAACAATTGCCAAATATCAAGTTTATACTTTATTGAACTTTTATTTATTTTTAAAACAACAGGGTAAATATTTTTATGACAAAAAAAAAGAAGAATACACTAAACGCAAAACAATAAACAGTGATTGTCTATTATGGGTAATTAGTTTTTATCGAGGTCATAGGTAATTTGAACAGGTAATTCTACACATTCTGATAAATGTTAATTAGGTTACCAACTTAATGAAGAAACGTTCTTTTGTTTTTAGTATGGATAATATGTACTTATATGAGAATTGCAAGAAAAATAAGAAAAAAATAGGCTAAGATGAGGTCAAAGTATATCAAGATAGAATAACGGTGTTTCAATTGTGAAATTTAGCGTTTTCAATAATTTCACAAGTTTGATTACAAAATAGAATAATTTTATAAGAAAAAGAGAATTCAGCGAAGAAAATTTTCTTTTCGACGAAATCATTTACCTAAGTTGTACATTTGTATATATAGTTATGTGGAAAATGTATGTCTATAGGAGGGTAGAAAAGATTGCATCACAAAAAATGGATTCCAGAATAAATAACAAATGAGGTTACGTACAAAGGGGCACCAAATACATATGCTCCACAAGTAGGTGGTTCTCCTAAGGGGCTATACCCGAAGCCTTCGACTTAAAGGTCTGATCCATATGACAATAGAGCAACGTAAGTAGACGCAGTCTCATGGTAGCATGTGACCAATGACTAGTTCATACGCCATATGTTCCCTCAAGATACTAGAGCCCATGAGCACCATTGGTTTGGAATTAGGGTTTTACAACTATTTTAGGTAGATCCTTCATACCCATCAACCCGATTAATGCACCGGATATTCGCTTTTGATTCTCTCAATTTCGTAAACGACACTCCCGCTACAAAAATGCAGTAAGTAGGATTTCTCTGGCGGTGGTTGTATGGATGTGACCATGCGAGAGCATTTCGAGAGGGACAGTTGACTCTTCCCACCCTCGGCCTTACTAGGGCATTTGAGGGCAAGATCTATCAAACAAGTTACATTTTGTAAATAATTACTATTTGAGTGAATACCATTGTCTTTTCAACTACTGGGTGTAATTTTACACAGGCTAAATATCCGAATGTAAGATAAGAATTTTTAAACGATTTTACTAAAATTTCTCATTTAGATGTTCATAAGATATTACGCCAATATACAGGAATATTTACATGGATGTGTGGAAATATTAAACCGATTCAGACATTTCGCTAGTCATTGATCGCAATGAAAAAGATTGTGTCAAAGTACATAATAAGTAAATTTGATAATAATACCACTGGCGTAATAGTAGTTACGTGAATAATCAACCAGTATACCTGTCATCACATAATCAATGTGAACGATTTACTTATTAAGTTCATTTGTAATAATCTATTCCACTGTTATCATTGACGTATAAACTGTAGGAATTCGAATCAACAATCCAAGCCTTTGTATTCATTATTTATTTATTTGGACACATGAATATTGGTACAAGAGAGCGCCAATATATATGCGCCACACAAAACAATGAAAATTCGAGAGGAATACAAAGGAAGAAAAAAAAGAAGCTAAGGAGCGCAACAAAAAAAGAGAGAACAATAACGAAGAGATTGGTGTAAGGTAATGTGCTAGTAATCAGGGAACGCAAAGGTACAATCGGAAGAAATCTTCCAGGTAAGGGAGGCAGAACCACTTTTTATGAAGAAAGTAAAAGAAGGTTACAGCAGGATCGCCACTGGCTTCTATTCTGAGCCATATCTGATAACATCTCTAGCCACTGTGTAGCACCATCTCTAAGACCCCAACCAGGGAGTCGTGAGGGACCGACAGAAGTCAGTCCTTTGCAGCTTTCTTTCATGCCACGACACCATGTCATGCACTGACCACCTCTCCGCTTCTTTCAACCAGTCCCAGAGTCGGCAAATAATGCACGACGTGGAATTCTCTGGGACGACATTCGGAAAACATGTCCAAGCCACTGAAGTCGGTGTTTTAAGATGGTAACACCAATTGAATTATCATCTCTTTGCCCAAACACACGATGCCGAGCCTCTGCATTACTGACATGGTGTTGCCACTGAATGTCAGCAATCCTTCGGAGACAGCGATGATCGAACATAGAGAGTCTTCTAACGTCCTCAACTCGGAGACCAGGTTTCACAAGCATAGAGCAGAACTGCTCTCACCGACGCGTTGTAGATCCGACCTTTTACAGCCAGACTAACATCACGAAGGCGCCAAAGGTGACCCAGATTGGCATAAGCCGCTCTGGCTTTCACTATTCGTGCATTGATCTCATCACTCACACCCCCACCAGCACTTATGCAGCTACCTAAATACACGAACTTCTCGACTACTTCTATCTGCTCACCATCCAGGGCGAGTACAGGATTGGAATCCTGCCAGTCTTGTAGAAGTACTTTGCACTTCGAAGGTGCAAAGCACATACCATACCTACGGACACTGATTGCCAACTGATTAAGTGCGGATTGCATGCTTTGGGCATTAACGCACAGTAAGACAATATCCTCCGCATACTCAAGGTCGAGAAGTCTTTCTCCAGGCAACAGATCCACACCACCATTACTTACATTCATCAGGGCTGTTTCCAGAATGTCATCGATGGCAAAGTTGAAGAGGAATGGTGAGATTGGGCAACCCTGCCTAACCCCGCTACTCGAATGGAACAATGGATAAAGGTGGTTGTATGCCATCATTCTGCCTGAGGTGTTTTTATATAGGGCTTTGAGGATGTTAATAAACTTCTCAGGCACACCCTTCTTCAATAGACAATCCCAGAGAACAGTCCTGTCCAACGAATCGAAGGCAGCCCTGATGTCAAGAAACACTACGATTGTTGGCCTTTGATAAGTATGGCGGTGTTCTAACATTTGGCGGAGGGTGAATATATGATCAATACATCCTCGACCAGAACGAAACCCAGCCTGCTCCTCGCGAGTCAATCTTTCTCGGGTTTTGAACAACCTACGAAGTATGACGGAAACCAATAGCTTGGACGCAATCGGAAGTAGACTTATCCCCCGATAGTTGTTGCAGGAACGACGTGAACCCTTTTTAAAGATAGGGACAACTATCGACTCATTCCATGACGTTGGTACACTCTCTCGCTCCCAGACCTTTGTAAACAACGTCGTCAATTCCTTAGTCAAAAAGTCATCACCATCTTTAAAAAGAGCCGGACGTAAGTCATCTGGGCCAGGTGATTTGTAACGTTTCATAAGAAATTTGTAACAACTTTATCTCTTCCTTGGTCGAATTAACCTTGATAAAAGATTTTATTTATTATTATTTTTCATACTCTTTGTTCATTCATTTTTCTTCACCTCTTACCTTTTTTCAAATATACGTTTCACAGTCCAATTATCTGAACACTTCTTAATACGCAATCTTATACCTTTTATTAGTGTTATATCAGCATCTACATTTTTCAAGCCACTGACCTATTTCCCATTATGCAACATGTATTCAGGTCCTTGTTATTCTTAATTCAACTAGTACACTTGTCATCACACCAAAAATTTGTACTTTTTACTTATTACTTTTATTTATATAATCTATTGCACTGTTATCATTAAATCATACACTGCCTTGATTAGTTTAATAACTTCGTATATGCATAAAAATATTACTGTATATTAGAGTGAAGCCTTATGAGAATCTAGCTGAAAACAATACTGTTCGCTTATATGTGTTGTTCTAATAATCAAGTAATCAACGGTCTTATCAGCATTTTGACATAGAAAGTAGACATTGAAAGAGAAACGCCTAATAATTATTTTTAAAATAAGATAATAACAAATGTACATAATCGGGTTGTGGAAAATACAAACCAAAGGAGATGAAGAATGACGACCAAATGAAGGCTATAAAAAATTAGTAGAATCATTTATTAAGTCATATCCGGAAAAGGAAGGAACAGGACTGTCATGAATTTCTTCCGAACATATAAACTAGAGTAAGGGGTCTGGACTCTTATGGTCTCTGCCATATTTAAGAGACAAGGCCCATCCCCTTAAGGAAAAGTAGCTCCTTTTATATACCCACATCCATTAGAAATACGTAACACAGTTAGCTCCTCCTTGGCGAAATAAGGTTTGACAACCGAATTTTTTTATTATTATACTTGGTTTGTTTATTCTTTCTACGTCTTTTTCGAACATATTCTATGCCGTCCTCATGCGTAATTTTGATCGTTTTTAACAAATGGTATTTCTGTGTCTATGTACTTACAAATTTTTGGTCTACTTCCTATTACGACACATTGATTCAAACGTGAGACATGCGTATAAATAGTACTTCATATTAGGGTTAATCCTAATGAAAATCTAATTGAAAACAATTTATTCACTTAGATGTGTTGTTCTAATTTACAATTTGGGAATTTTTTCATGTCCTCTAAATCCTTGAAATTTCATTACATTTTCTAATGGTGTCAATTCTGCTTCACAACATATTTTTCTGATAAATCTTTATTCTCTTTTTGTTGACTTTTACATCTTTGTTTGAAAATGTCTACTTCTCTGAACACAAAAAATCATGTAGAGCATTGGTTAACATGTCAAATCAATTTACTAATACATATACTTATATATAACTTATGCTATGCTTTGTATAAAGTCCAACCAATCTGTAACTCTTCTTCAGTACTTATTGTCATTAGTCTAGTGACGTTTTTTAAACCAATACATTCTGTTCTCTCTGAAACCAAAACATTTGTAACGCAACAGTTAGTTATTCGACATATGAGTACTCTATTCATTGCTCATCATCCAAAACAATACAATACCAGTAGTTTATCAGTTCAACTTAAAGTGTTGTCATTGTTTTCTTTCCGAACTTTACACTTTCCAATACGATATATATATATATATATATATATATATATATATATATATATATATATATATATATATGAACAAATGTTTCTCTTCATTAAATGTTTCTTATTTTTAATACCTTGTTGAACCCATTATAGTTAGATAATTGTCAGTTGTATAGGATATTTTATAAACTAACAGTTTATTGATTCAATTGCATTTCAGCTTCGATCAGCACATTTCGTTGAATAGTTTTAATCATAAAGAATTTTAAAAAGTAGATAGGGTAACTTTTATCTGATAAATTCTTGGTCTATATTACATTATTATTATTATTATTATTATTATTATTATTATTATTACTTAAAGAAAGAACATAATTTCGTTCTACCAATCATTTATAATCCCATTTTTATTTATTTATTGATA